TTCGATCACAATGGCATCAACAGAATTTAAGTATTACTTTCTACAAAAAAAAAACAGTCTTTTATATTTAATGTGCAGAAATTTTTGCTTTTTTAATGCAAATATTTTTTAAAATTTTGACTGAAAAGTTCTTTCGAATCAAAATGAAAAAAGCATTCATTCATACGTTGAAGGCAAAAAAAACGCATGGGATTTAAATAAGTCCATATAGTTGTCCCAGCTGGAAGATTACCGAGCCCAATAAGCGATAAATGCAAGGCTGTGCTAAGACGACTGCACTGTACGCTTACTCGATTTCCACCAAGTCCTGTAAAATTTTTAACCAATTACTGTAAAAATATTTTAAAAAAAATTTGCTACAAGAGATATGGAGGTCAATAGATGAATGAATTAATAAATAAGTAGAATACTATAAAAATGAAAGATAAACTTTTTTAAAAAAGTTAACTTAAATGTAATTCTTTGATTTAACAAAATATTTGATACCGTAAAAAGAGACAAATCTGTTAATTGAAATTATTATTACACCTGTGATTAGTGGGTGAAGGGCAGCAATGCCTGGGAAAATAATAACTGCTGATTGAAGTAAGATGCCACTGAAGCTAAATTTGTCCATTTTTGGAAATTTTGATAATTCATTCTCACTGATAAAAAAGTTTTGATTTTTTTTATTTCCATTTTGTTTTGATTTATAAATTCCAATTGCTTCCCATACAAAAATTATTAACTAATAATTACGCTATTAAAATGATTAATTGTTTAGTTTGAGCTAAACTTTCCACTTTTTTCACTTGAAATTAATAAATAAACATAAATTTTAAAATGGAATTTGTAAGTCATAACTATGCAGTGAAATAATCTGACTTGACCTTATGGAATTGTAATAAAGAAGCTAACCATCCGACCAATATGGCAGCAATTTGTGCGAACCAACCCTTCTTTAGAATTTCCCTCGTATGAGTTTCTTTTGAGGCACCATAAGCCAGAAATGGTACCATACAAAGTAAAAGTAATATCGACAAAATAGCAAATATATGCAAGTTTTGAGAGGAAAAATAAATCACCAACATTCCTGTACCAATCTAAATTTTGATTCACAAAATAGCACTAAAATTGTTTGAACTTCAAGTAATGTTTGAATTTAAAAAAAGTTATGATGCACAACATGCTGTGCTGACAGTAACAATATTATATAGATATGCAACTCTTTGCTGATATTACATGGAATTTTATTCATACAAACAGTATTCGTACAATTGTTTCACTGTTTTCAACTTGTATTACCTATTATTTTACAATATTTTTATATAAAACTTTTAATTTTTGGAAACAAAACATCAGTTTAATTGCTGTTTTTCCCACATGTATGCTAAATATTTTAACGAAAATGAAATCAAGCCAAAATATTGTGCTGTAAAAATTATCAAATAAATTTTGACCTATAATTTTATACATTTAATATGAAAATTATTTTAATTAACATAAATGAAAGATAAGCAAGTTAGGATTTATTATTTAATAAGTAGAAATCATTGTTACCAGTATAATTAAAGTAATAAAATCACTGAAGCTTGCTGTAAGAGGAGCGGCAATATTATCAGGATCAATTCCTCTTCGACGTATACAAGTTACTGTAATCACCATCATGAAGCCAACTACAAATGAAGATAACACTGCAGTATACATACCACTTGATATTATTACCCAAGCATGAGATTGTTTTAACTGTAAAAATTGAATTCCATAAAAAAGATCAATTAGTAGAAAAAGTTGTAAATTTTTTAATAAATATTAGAAAAAAAAATCATATAAAATTTTTAATCATGCAACAAATATATTTTAATCCAGTAAAAAGCTGAATTATTTATATTTAAGCAAAAAATTCAGCTTCAATTTTTTGCAAACTTAATTATCAAATATATAATTATGATTTTATTGGGTATTACTCATACCGATTCCAATCCTAAAACACTTATTATGTTGACTTAATGTCTAATTAAAATTATTATTTCTTCTCTAATTTAATTTAATTAGCCTTTTGTAATCAAAGGGCTAAATTAAATCAGAGAAAAAATGGAAAGTATAATTTGTTCTTTGCTGTCAAAGTCTCTTCCAAAACATCTAAATAGCAGTCAAAATCAAATAATTGAACTTTTTTATTTTGCTCAAAATCAAACAAACATCGCAGTTGATTAAGCTAACTGCTATGCTCAACACACTTGCAACAAGAGATAATACAATTGATTGCAACTGAATAAGAAATAAATTGAAGCGAACAATTACAAACACTTCTTCCCACTTGTCTGTTAGGCCTGCGTTGCTCTGAATTCACAAATATGTCACGTTTGGGGTCACGCTACATAGCAACTTTTTTGAACAAAACTTTGCAAGGACTGATTTTATAAAGTCATTCCTTTAGATGGACAAAACTTTACATGCATTCAAGTTTAAGGTAGATGTTTTTTGATGGAAATACTGCAATTAATTGATTAAAGATTTTGATAAATTTTAATAATGCACTAACCATAGTGCAAAATCTGGAAGCGTATGTATTCTCAAGATTGCCTTTTAGGCCTAATAAAGCGGGTACCAGTACGAAAACCTCAGGTACCTGCAAAAAGAATGACCAGTGTTGGGCCCGCTCAAAAAATAATCCAGAACAGATTTGACCAAAACCGGCGATCAAAAACGGTAGTAATGTCTGAAAAAATTATCTGGATAATACTATGGAAACAGTAGTCTGAGTTATCATATGAAAAAGCTGCCAAATATGGAAAATTTGTTGAAAACAGATCTGAGCTTAAGAAAGTCCAGTTAGTTTCCAGGAAGGAAAGAAAATTTAAGTGAATGCATTATTTTAGCAACAAAATTCGGATTTTAGTAATGATATACAAACTTGTTTAAAAATACTGCACAGTATTATATTTTCATCTGCGTAATCTGAAAATATTAAAATGTCTGAATTGCATTCACATCCCACTGTTTTCAATTTAAGTTGTCAAAATGCATCAAAAAATAAAATTTTACAATAATTGAATTATGGTTAGATAGAATGATAATTTCTGAAATCGCTCAATACTTCATTTTGGCCGCAAGATATGCTTGATGAAGCTGATGTAATTTACGTCTTTTTATCGATAATTTGAATGACGGAAATTTTTTTTTAACAGTTGACGTAAAATGCGTAAAAAAATAGCTTATATGCTAATCTGCAATCAGCAAGCGAAAAGTAGACAAAAAAAGTACAACCTTGATGACTTCCATGGTAAATTTCTGAATCAGAAAATGCCAAATCTGATGGCGTTGATTCCGTTCGTTCGATGCTTGTAACTTTCTTATTTTGCTTTTCCTTGTTCATAGCAACTTCAAAATATTGCATTTCCAAATGAAATTCGATCAGGTTATTATTTTCTACTTTTTGAGTAACCATGACATTATCAACCTTGCATCAATAAAAATAACGGAACATAAGTGATAAAACTTGGTACGAAAACGCACAATTTTATAGACTGAACCAGTCGATCCGAAACAACTAAAAATAGTTTCTTACACACCAAAATTCTATTAAATTACAAATTCTTAAGCTTCTAATTTGAATATTATGATAATTATTTGATTTTCACAAATGAAAATTTGAACCTGAAATCTGAATCTGAGAAAGACCTGAAATAATCTCAGAGAAAAGTTTTTTTTCAGTGATTTTTCAAATAATGTCAACGGACAAAATTATGCACAAATGACCAAAATTCAATACTTATCACATTTACTCTATCAAAAATTGTCTTCACTAATTTCAAATGAAAATTAAATATTCAACTTGATATTGAAAATACTGCGTAAAAATTAACACTAACTCAAACTAATAAGCTTTTGAATAATCTGCAAATTGATAAGGTTGGGTTGATGGTGATAAAATTTCTGATACATTGTTTTTTTCTTCGGAATGTATAAATGGTTGACCTGCAATAAATGGACCTTGTGACCAACAATCAAAGTGCTTTAAGTTGTAGTGTAAGGAGCTTGCTAAATAGTAGTGCAAGAATTGTAAAGGGCACCAGCAAATGTTTCAGGTTCAATCAGAGGTACCTGGGCTAAAATTCCTTGTAAACAATAACTACTTAAAAGCAAAATATGCTAGCATACCTGATATGATATTGCAAAACCTCAACGACAAAACCAGAATACACAAATATTTTGAAAAAAATTTATTGCAGTTAAAATGACGTTTACTTCTAGTTTTGTCGTTACATACAAAAATTTCAAAAAAATTTAGATCAAAATATACCATACTATTATAGAAGTATAATTGTGCCAACAGCAGTTCTAGCAGAACCAACATTAGTGATACTGCCAGCATGGTAGTGCATAAGAACCCATGCAAGAGAAACGGGTACTGGACATGGTAACGGTCACTGCCAAACTGCTTTAAATATCAGCTCCATATCCTTAAAACGCTGCAGTAATGCGTACTCAAAAAGTTACCTTCACGTAGAATTGAAAATGAGAAAATTGTCCTTAAAATAATTAAGAATCACTACGCATAGTGATTAATTTTAAGAAAAAATAGAAAGTAGAAAATTGTAGGAAAAAAAATATAGGAAATGCTATTTATAGTACCAAATAAATCACAAAATTATGAAAACAATAAAGTAATTATAAAAATTAACCATTGGTGGTAGAGAGTTACCACAAGGAGTAGCACTAGCAGTCGACAACCACGCCAACAATATTTAGCAGCAGAAAGGAAAATCCTCCAGATGTACGAACATCAACGTGTCTTTATAAACATATAATTATGCTTCCAAATTTATATCATCAACTAACCATCCTCCCAAAGACGTCCATTTTTGGATAAGTCTAAGCCTGCTAACTGATTTCACCTCTGCATCTAAACGTGCATCGCTTACAAAGTTGCGAATTTGTTGATAGTCGAGAAGGAAAATGGCATCGCTTGCGGTCAATAAATCGACGAATGTTAATCAAAGTATGATATGTTCTCTCTCTTTCTATAGTGATAAATTATATCGCAAAAAAAGTCAAAGTGGGAAAGAAATTTGTAAAATATTGCTGTAGAGCTGGGGAGATCTGAACCTCAAATTTTATCGGCTATCACTGTTCATTCAAGGAGTTTGCGAATAGCACTTCCATTGTTTTGTATTTAAAGGAATCATTACTTGTTCTTGCTTTTAAAATCTAAATTGCCTGGTTCCTTTTCCTACTTCCTGTTCAAGTTTTCTCTGTACTGATCAACATTTAAAGTTTTACTTAATGCGTACATAGTTGTAGTAATTATACTTTATTCAAAAATGACTAAATGATTTATTATTGAAGTGAAGACCAATTATATATTAATGTATATTTCAGATCTAATTTACTAAGATGTTGAATGATCAGGTAATGGTAGTAGATGGTTACAACGATATGGTTGGTACTGTTGGTGAAATAGAAGCTTATGATTTACGAAAAAACACCTAGATTGAGTTACCAGTTATGAATTTGAGGTATGACTCGAACTGAAAACCACAAAATTATTGAGGGGTTTGTTCGCCCTCAAACCAATACTTGGAAAATATTAAATGCACAACACAAAAACAAACTATGAGAAAATTTCAAGCAGGCTGTGATATGAATGAATATAAAATGTATCGAAAATATACAAAACAATCTGTGAGACGTGGCTATCACGATTTGTGATCAGCTAACAAGATGATATTTACGTTTGGGGGTATAGTGTATGCGTCGACCCCCGATATTAAGAGTGAAGCAACAATGGCAGTCATTGGTCCCAAGTGGCCATCCATTAAAAATCTTTATGCAGGATCAGAAATTTTGAAAAGTACCGTTTGATAATATGCATGATGCTTGAACGTAGAATAAATTAATCATGCTCTGAAGTCGTTAACTTTCGTCCAAATATCTACAATGTGTCATGAATACTTAAGTTACCAATTTTCAAATTACAAAGCAGCTACGTTGAACTTGCTACATGCGTATTCACACAGGAAAAAGAATACAATTTCTAACCGGAATCCAGTTCCAATATGTTCCTTTGAAATCAGTCATAATTTGTAATACCGTTAGTCTGTTAGATAATATGAAATAGCACCCAACATCTTGCTACAAGAAAAAAAATTGATCAAATGCGAATTTTTTGCTTAGTTAAATTGATTTTTTGAACAAGCCACCAAAACGGTATAAATTTTATTCACCACCAATGGCAATGATTTGACAAAAAAATATAAAAACAATAATATCAGAACTGAATTGAAATATAAAACTAAAGGGTAGTCATTAAATAGTTAAATACAACAATTAACTACATTGAATGTTGAGTACAATTCATTAGCATCACTTCGTACAAACAGCTTTTACTCTGCAAGCGTACTGCTACTTCATAGTGAGTGATCACACTGAGAACTGAATACCACGCATCCATCTATGCACCGAGTAATTAATACCATCCGAAGCATCCATGAATTCACTGATTCGTCAATCCAGAACTCATCCATTTTTCGTTAAGTTCAAACCTGCTAACTGATTTCATTCTATGCATTATTGTGTTTAAATTGATATTACTCACCCATCCACCATCCATCCATTTTTTGAAAATTTTAAGCCTATTTACTATCTATTTCAAAATGATTTGGCACTTTTTTCAAAGTAAACAGTCAACAATCACGAAAATTTTATTAGATCGATAAAAATTGGGAAAAAAAACCTTCTGCGCAAATGCGCAAGGTGGCATATGCTGAAAATCATCGAGATCTTTCAAGTCGTAGAAGGAAAAATGCTCAAGGAAATGCGTTCCTGAAACATAATACGAATTGTTTGTATTCTTTCATGAAATGCGTTTAAAAAAACGACAACGTTTTACTCACATAATTTTTAAATGATGTGTTGTAAGGCTGTAAAAATTTAATGAAAACGCTAACCTATCATCGCAAAAAAGCTCAGTTATGACTAGAACCATCATGCCACTTCTCTTCATTGAACAATATTGCCACACCAAAGCCTGCATAAACCCTGAAATAGTGAAGAATCATTGAACGTATGTAGTATCAATTGCTCAATAATTTAATCAGTCAACTGATTTTAATTAGAATAAAAATGGACAATAGTCTATTTCTACATTTCTGTCCAAGGTAAACACAGCTTATGCACAACTCTAATATGTGTCAAATTAGCTAAATAAATAACGTTGCACTATGTTTTTTCATGGTGGCAAAAAATAAGCGAAAAGCAACCACAATCATAAGAAACGCAAAGTTCTTCACTTAATCAAAAATAAAGCGGTATGAAAAGCAAGTATGATTTGAAATGAAAGGACAAAAATAAAGCAACTGACAAAATTGATGAAGTGTTTTCGACGGAATAACAAAACCATGTCGATGGAATTTTTTAGGAACAAAAAATTCATAGTTTAGTAATTACAATGAAGAGAAATTAAATACTGGTAGAGCATGCAAGTTAATTAAAACTGTACTCATTCTTGCATTGTCAGCAAAACTGAAAATTACCACGAATAAAATCAATTACGATCACACAAAGTGAATCGTAATTGGTAAAATGTATTTAAAATCCTTTGACGTTTAAAAAAATGACAATTGAATAATTCAATCATAAGCTGATAGTAATCTCAGTACTTCAACTGGAATTTGAAAATTAACTTGTTAATCACTCAAGAATACAAATGACGCAGAAATCACAACTTCTACACTCTCAAATACAATTTTTGTTATATATGCATTCGAAATCTATCATAGACGCTAAATGAGGGAAAAAGATATACAAATTGAATCAATGCAATAAGCAGCCTATGACCCATAATGACGTTGA